TTTCTAGAGGGTTTTCCTAAACACCCATTATTGTTCACGGGAGACACTGACACAAGATCGAGTTACTTGGACACATCTCCTCTAGTTTCTATGTTAAAATAATTTTTTTATAATTCAGTTCAGGAACTAAGATGCTGGATTTTTTTTAATTTATCCTTTTTTGATGGCTATTGCTAATGCCAGCATGCTTTTGTTGGGAAGAAAGTAGACATAAGCTTGTATTTTCTTGCCCTTATTACCCCAGTGGTGGGAATGGTTTGACGCTATTCATTCAAATTTGACAGGTGATTGCTTCTGTAAATGAATGCACTCAAATCATAATTGTTGCAACAGAATTGTTTGATTACCTGGCGGTAGCCTCTTTCTCTCTGATAGCTTTTGGATCACCTGTTTGCTGAGAGCATTTGACAGTCCTCATGTTTATTACCCAATTGAATGTCAGTAGCAATTGCACTAAAGATAAACGAAAATGCAAGTACTTGTTGACCTTGACTTTTTTCCACAAGATATTGGACTTGATGGCTCTATTGCTGTTGAACTGATAAGAGTTATAAACAGTAGTTGAAGGAAAATGTTTTATTCCCAGAGGAAAATACCACACTGCTGTGGGAAATGGCATCTGACTAGCACTCTTTGCCAAATTTGCTTGGTTCACCTTCATTTAGGCTGTGGGAAAATAAAATACAAATTTCCCCTTTTATGACTTTAATATCTCTGCAAACGTGCATTCCTGTGCTCTTTGTAAAGTTTTGTTGGCAGACTGTGCCAATAACATACAGCGAGCATGAGACCTCGCCGTGTTTTATGATGTGCTATAATGAGGATTCTCAATTCTTCCTCATTTTCGGGCTGATTTGATAATTACAGGGAGGGAGCAGAGCTTTCTTCTCCTATTCCATCGGAAGCTTAATGTGTCTATAACCAGAGAAGACTGGGAAACGTGTGGCTGTGGGTGCACATTGCCGGAGTGGGGCTGTGCTGGTGGGAATAGAGCCTGAGGATGAAGGCAAAGTGATTGCAGGAATAGGGGAATGATGCTTTCATAGGCTATGTTTGCACTCACTTTTTAAAGCAAGGTCCCACATGAGTTCCTTTGCAGGTTTTCAGGAGGAGGGGGCAAATTTGGTGTCACCCCTCCCAGCTGCATTTGGGGAATGGAAGAAATGAGTGCCTGCACCAGCAAATCTTCCTGCTATAACCTCCCCCCCCCATATATATATTTATTTATTTCTAATCCTGCTCCAATATGAAACCTGAAAGGAAGACTTTAGTGGAAACAGGAGCAGGCAATAGGCTTTGAGATCTTCCAGGATGAAAGTCATTGTATAAACATAATACATAAAAAGCACAAAAGACAGTGGAATTATATTCTTTAAAATATAAGTCCTTCCTCTCTTGGCAACTGCTCTGATAAACTCTGTACAGTATTGTAGGAGCTTGTTAAAGCACCAAAATGCAGGATTAAGCAGTGCTGTAACAGTTAGCAGAGTCAGACTAGTAATCTTATTGCATTGTATTTTTCTTAGGTAAGATTAAGCCGGCATTACATTATATGTTTGTGGGCGAAGGGCCATTCTTCAAGGGATTAATTAATAGGATCAACGCTGTAAGATGCTGACATAATTTTTTTCTAAGCACATGGATGCACACAGGCTTTTTTACTCTTCTTCTTTCCTTTTTTTTTTTTTTAAATTTAATTTTAAATTCATGAATGAGGTGGGGACTTTCTCTGAGCAATCAGGGCAGCCCCTGCAGCAGTGGCAGCATCAGAGTGACCTATCACCGTATAATTCACCGGGGACCGCTTCTCACTGGCCTGGTGACCCACTAGTTGGTGCCATGTGAAATACCAGAGGGAGAGGCCTGATATCCCTTCTACCTGAGCTGATGTGGGATTCTAGGGCTGTGACTAAGCAAATGTTTGACGTTGCTCTGGCAGGTCTTTGAATGAGGGTGCTCTTGGTGCCGGCACTGTTCCGGCTTGGCTCTTTCGCCGTGTTACCTCCTCCGTGTAGCCTTTGGTTTGACACGCTTGAACCTTTGCTGGTTGGGTCTGGAAGGTGGGGAAAGATGTGGAAGAGCGTGGATGGGCCAGTGATGTGCAGTGGGAGCAGTGTCACATCAGGGCAGGCACTAACACCCCAGGGCCCTCTGCCACCCTGTCTCCCTCTGCAGCTTGGGAACTTCCTCATTGCTGGGCGGTACCTCTGGCATCTAATGGCCATGGATTATACATATAATTTATTTATATATTATAAATATTACTCCATTGTAAGTATTTGTTAATATATTTTATTTTCTTCCTCTTGAGTGTTTAAAATCAAGCACAGAGTTTGCAGTCAGTTTTTTGTGGTTGCCCTTTGCAGAAGTGTAATGTGGAAGTGTGGGAAAGAAGAAAGAGCATATAAGTAAATAATGCAGGCAGAATAGACTTTTTAAATACTTGTCCCTTGGCCCTTGTTTTCCTGTGACTGGTTCTGTTCCTCAGGAGAGAGACAGCCCTTGCAACCTGGATGCTGTGTATTGTCTCAAGGTTGTGAGTTCATCTTTTGCAGAAGGGCAGGAGAAGACCTGCTAGGAGACACCACTTACGTCCTTGGAAAAGAGCTAATGGTGGTGGAAGTAACCTAACTGATTCTTAAAATCTTCCCCCAGTGCTCTGAATAGCAGTGTCACATGGATGCATGCTAAATATATTCTGGAGTCTGTAGCGTCCCAGTGGACCCCGAAGAAGGCATATCTTAGCTCTCTCTGGTCGGCGAGTGAAGGTCACGGAAGCAAGGCTTGTAGGATGGAGAATCTTTTGTTGGTCTTATTGCTGTGCCAAGAGGATCTTCTCCCTTTCTCACTTCCTGGCACAGCACTGAGGGAGAAACCCCACTGTGGAGCTCCTGCTTGGGCCCCTGGATTATAGCACATGTGCTTCTGCATCAACTGCCTTCCTGAAGCAGGGGAAAGAGGGAATGGGGTCAGCATTAACTGAACGGCTCAAAATAAAGTGTCATCATTTAAAATGGAGTTAAAGTTTCAGGGCGCTGTAACATCAGTGTGGCAGCCTCTTGCTAAAGAGCAGAGGATAAGATGCAGGCAAATTGCAGCAGGGGGGAAAAGAGACAACAAAGTGGAATTGAAATGTGTTCATGCTGTACTCCTCCTCCCTTTCCCATGTAGTAAAGCATCTATTTATCCTCTCCTGTCCCCTCATCCTGCCTGTGGCAGTGAGGATGCCCCAGGAGAGGCTTTTGCGCAGGATTCTGCCTGTTTTCTTTTTCTGATACCTGTCTGGACTAACCCACAAAAATTCTGCATGAGGTCAGCTGTGTAAAAGCAAAAATAGTGGTGACGTTAATTCAGTATAACTATTGGACAGACTTGGTGTAGTTTTGTGTTGTTGTAGTTCTGTGACGGGCTGTAGGAAAGCTGAGGGCTGTTCTGTCAGTTGGTGAGCAGGCTGAGCCACCAAATCTTTGAATGTCAGTGTATAAATATTTATAGTTTGTGTGTGTATTTGTTCCTATACGTGCTTGGATGTGAGTGCTTCCCACTATTACACATTTTTATTCTGTGAACCTGGCAAGAAAGGTGGTAAAGCAACCACCCATATGAAGCATAGGGCTTTTTTAGAACCTTTCAAATTTCCTTTACAAGGAGCATTGTGCTAAGTTCCTGGGTGTTGCAGCTACAAGAAACATATTAGGAAGCGGTGCTAATGTTAGTGTCTCACCACATATTTAATCCAGCTAAAAAACCCCTGAGGTGGCCGTGATTTACTAAGCTGAACAGCAGACTGGCAAGCAGAGAGGGCTGGCAGAGCCACCTCATCAGGAAACGTAGGGTTGGTGACTTGCTTTAATTTAATCCAAATAATGTCGGTGACTTGGTTGAATTTAATCCCAATAAAGTAACCAACTAACAGTCTGCAGGAGGAACATGTTTGTCTGAAAAGCAGAGTATGCATATTATGCAATGTTACAGCCTGGCTTTCCATACCTAATGTTTTAATATAAACTAGAATTGCTTTGTACAGAGGAATTGAAATTCCATGTGTTACCAATATACAAATTTTATTTACAGTTGCAGTTGGTGTAGGTGAAATGACAGTATTAAACTTAAAAATGCCTCTCAAGTTGATAAATGCCAACTTGATACTAAACACATTAATACTCTGTTAAAATTAGCAGTCAATTTACTTGAATATTGGAGGTTAGCCAGGGATGGATCTGAAGTTGTATTAGGTATATCGTACTGGTCTGAATACATCATATGCTGTTGCAAAAGCATTGTGCTAATTTTAGCTTACAAAGAGGATGAAGATAAACTGCCTGCTGCTAGTTTGCCATATGCTATCCTGGTGATAATATTCAAGTCGAAAATATTCTGCAGAGAGTCTTATTGTTTCGCTGAAAGAAAAGTGGAAAAGAGTTAAGCAAATTTCTGCTCCGTAAATATATACAGAATAATGAAATAAAGCAAATCTCAAATGTTGGTAGATGAGATCTGTGAAATTTGTTTTGGTTTTATTGGCTTTCATGGGAGTCAACAATTTGTTTTAGTATATATTTGATCCAATTTTATCCATTTCTCGCATGTAAATCTTAAAATCAATCTAAATAAAAATTGATCTTTGTTCTGGTAGGCAAAAATATAGTCTGAGTTGCTCCTAACTAGTTAAGCCTCCCATCCTTCAAGTTTAGTACAGGAATAAAGTCTCTGCTGAGCTGATTTTTTCAGGAGCTTCTCCTTTTGCTTTGTTTATTTAAAAACTCAAAACATATTCCTCTTTCCATATGGGGAGGATTTTGCTTCTGTAACTTCACTGAGGAGCATTTGCCTTCTCCATCTGGCCCTGTAGCCAGGAGAGGGGTGCATGGGGAGGGGGTGCCCTGGACCCCCGGGGTTAGTAGGGCTTGGGGGAAGCTTTGCATTAGCAAGTGGTGAAAAGCTTGACCTTCGAGTGACCTGGGTCAAGCAAACCCCCCACTGAAGTGTCCCATTTGGACATGGATACCTGTGGGGTGAGGGAGGAGATAAAGGACAGGCGGGAGGAAGATAAAGTAATCCCATTGACCTGGGAACTTCTCAGATATTACAAGCAAGGGAACGTCAGGAATAATAAAAGAGCAGCAATATTTGCCTGCCCCCCGTATCTGTGTAATGTCATTTCCAAAGGGCTGAAGTAGATAATAGCAAATGTGCTTTCAAATATCAGATCAATCTCTTGAAGTGATGGGTAAGACTGGATGCTCTGATCTGACGGGTGCTGGAGAGTGTAATACAATCCTCATTGCAGCAGAGAGAATTGTATAAATGGACAAAGATCTGCTGATTACATCTTTTGCTAAAGTGTTAAGTAAAAGATCTGGCTATAAGAGATGGCCAGAGTCTACTATTGTCTGGTCTTCTGACTTGTTTTTATAGGGGTTTTCACAGGAACAAATACCAATTACCAAAATAAAAGCAAGCGGTGTGGCCGGTCCGTATCATGGTAGGACACATGCTCTTGAGTCAGCGTGGGCAGGAAGCTTGGCAGGTCTGTCCCCCACCATTGCCATTGCATCTTTATCTCTCTGCTTCATTGTTTGCCACTGAGTGCTTGAAATTCCAGTTTCCAAGTAAAAGCTTCCTGTTTCTTGCATTTACATTCAGTTTGGTAAGACATAAATTTAGCTATCTATCAAGGAAGGCTTTTCTTTTTTTCTTTTTTTTTTTTTTCTTCTTTTCCTCAAGTAAGGCAAAATAGGAAGAAGAAATTAATTATGATTTGGTGATAAGAAGTAGAATTTTGCATTTTCCCAGATTCTCAGTGGCAGGAAGCATGAGGTTGTATCCTTGTGATAAGGTGATGGATGGGAGCTAAATTCAGCCTTTCCATTCTGAGTAATTTTAGAAAGAGCCCTGAAGTCCAGATCTTGTTTAGAAACAGAGATGGGCATATTCAGCCTTCATTAGCCATAGTTTCCTTGCAGTAACCTCACTGCTTGTAAGTTTTTACTGTTCTGTGCAGTATTCAAAGCTAATAGTGTTCATATTCTTGTAGTCTTCTCAATCCTGAATTTCCCTCCAGAGAGTTTCTCTTTCTCTCCATTGACTGTGAAGGGACTTGGGGAGGACTAATGGCCTCAGACACTTAGCTGGGCAGTCTGACTTAAATGCTTAGAGTAGGGATGAATCTGTTCTAAAACTTGCCATTCCTTTAGAAAGGAAATGTTTGCTCTGTGTTGAGAAGCAGAATAAAGTGGTTTGTACTGGTGAAGATTAAAGGAGTGGGCCTGGGCATTGTATGTGTAGGTGAGACTGTGTCCTCTGCAGCTCCTGAACGTCTCATGACACTTGTTGTATTTGCAGACCCATATGGGTAATAAGTGTTCAAAAATATTGGCATTTATAGAAAAAGACATATGTATATGATATTTTAAAAAATATTATTCAGGGCAGGCATTGTCTGTATTCCCTTGCATAGCTGCCAAGAAGCCAGGTTTCCAGCGTTCCCTGCCATCAGGATGTTGCTTGCTTCAGTAGTGCTTACGAGGTTTTGGTCGAGGGTTTTCACATGACTCTGGGAGCTGAGGACTTAAATATAAAATCTGATGGATGGGGCTTGTGAAACTTGGTAGCATTTCTTTGCTCAACTTCCAACTAAACAGCTTTGAGGTCTTGCATGAGATGAAAAGCTCCATGAGAGAAGCCTTGAAACAAAACCTGTTGCTGAGTTGAGGTGGTAGGAATGGCCGTACTTAGTTTTGTTGTGCTGTTTGGGCATGAGGGAATTTGGCAGCTGGCACTGCAACACTCGGGACTTCTCTCCACACACCGTCCTTATCTTCTTCTAAATGTAAAACCAGAGTTAAACCTATTTCTACTCCCAACTAACAAGATGTGCATTGGCTCATTGAAGTGTACTAATATGCATTCAAAAAGGTTCGTTTGTCCACTTCATTTTTTTCATCATAGTTGTAGGAATCCTCACTAGCAGATGAGGTAGAGGGGTGACGGGTTAATAATTTTTATGCAGAATATTGAACTCTTATTTCCATTTTGAAGTCCACTTTGGATGCTGTCCTGAAAAGTATCTCTGGATTGTGTACTGTGACCCCCTTGTGCCCCAGAAACTTGAAATTCAGGGCTTGCTTCCTTGGTAGGCTGTGAGTACAAAGCCTAGGGATGGTGCTGGAGGTTTGCAGGCACGGAGGGAGGGCGGGTTACTGGCAGCAGCAGTGTGGGCTTTCATTCAGCACCTTGTCAGCGTGCCTTATCTAGGATCTTGAGGGATGGCTCTCCAGGGTAAACCCAGGGAAGGGAGCTGAGTGAGGTGTTTCCAGGGATGTCCTGGCGGAGGCTTTCTCGTGAGCTGTTCTGCTTGCCCTGCAGGAGTCGTAACCAGCACAGATCCCTTCAGTGCCTTGGAAAGTTGGGCTTTCCAGCATGTTTGTTGAGTGCTTTGAGACTTTGACCTCCTTATTTACAACTCGTGTCATCTTTGAGTGGACATGTACAGCACCTGCTGTCTTCAGCCTCTTCTTCCATGCTCTTGCATGAGGTTCATGTGCAACCTTAAATATGCAGGAAGTCTTCTGTGCTGGTGAAGGGTTAGCATGAGGGATAGCTTCCACATGGTCCTACAGGCAGTTGCCCTCTCCAAGTCAATATTCCCTTGTTCAGGTCACTGCTGAGATCATATTAATTGCAAATATGGTGCTTATGTCAAAGTCTTTTCCATAAAAACTGTTAGGTATAGATAAGAATGCTTTTTAACTGAACTTTGAGATTCACCCCGTGATTATAGATGAAAATCTCTGTCTTCCCTTCTCATCTGCCTCAGCCACAAATTGCAGGTGCAGCTGGTCGGGCAGTTAAAATGACAAAACTCAGAGTAGCTTTGCATAGAAACCAGCAGCACGATTAGCAATGGTTCAGAGGCTGGCATTGGTGACTGTTCAGAAAATCGGCAGGTATTTGTGAAAGCCTTTTCCAGTCTCAAGAGAATCACCTCTTTTGGCATCAGTGAATGTTGCTTCAGAATTGCGATGGGAAAGAGTGCAGGTCTGTGACTAGAGACTTGCTTTTCTGCCTCAATATGGAGACGCTTGCCTGCAGGTTCTAAGAGATCAACTGTACAGCAAAAGTTGTGTATGGAGGAAGCAAGGAGTTCACAAACAGTTGGAAAATTGTGTTTGCTCAACATGAAATGAGTTTATTAGAAGAGACTCATTCAGAGTGGAAACGGGAACTAGTATTTACGAGGATTTATTTGATTGTCTCAGGATAATTTGAATACAGGTTTGCAAGTATTTTCTTTCTTTTTTTATGCACATCTGAGCGTGTCTCTAATATATGTATTACAAAACTGTCCTGACCTTCATCAAAATAGTCTGCTAACGTTTTGCCTGACTTTATCAAGTTGCAGCATGAAAGAACCACTCTGATTCATATTTTTAAGGGATGTTTTTGTGACCTCAAAAATTGATACTTCCTTAGCCAGTGCCAGAAAGCCCTTTCTGTGGTTTTAGTCCCCATTTCTTCAGCAATTAAGACTCAGGTGGCATCAGAATAACAGCCGATTTTAAGAGCCACTTTAGCCACCTCCGTCATGGGGAGGAAGCCTGCAGAGCTTCTGCAGAGCCTTGGAGCTCTGTGGTGTGACCTCAAGTGACCAGATGCAAAAACCAGAGCAACTCTTGAACGGAAAGGTCTGCATCATCCAAACTGTGCTGACTGTTGTCCAAGAACACACTGTTTACCTGTTCCTTCCAAACTGGTCAATTTTCCGCAAGGCCGAGATGTGGATTTTGGGGGGTTTTTTTTGCTTATCTCAGTGCAACTTGGCTGATTTTTGTGGTGCTGCTCTTCACTTGCTTGTAGATATATGTTGAGGATTGTGGTTTCTGTTTTGGTGATTGAAGCTGAACATTCCTGCTATCGACCTGTATATACCTCCTCCTTTGTGTCTGAAGGCATTTGTATATTCATCTGCAGATGTGCAGGCTGACCACTTCAATCATAAGCAACAAATATGACCAATTAACTCCAAAATGCATCTTGCTGAAGGTAGTGTCTGAAAACACATTGCCATGAGCATGAAGCAGCCAAGCTGCTGTCTGGCCTTCAAGATGTGTACCCAGACCTTAATGAAGGGTGGGGTTTTCCTTATCCCAATAAATAGATTTTGTTTGGGAAGGTGAGAGGCAGAAATAGAGAATGTAATTGCCCAGTCCGAAATAAAAGGCTATTTATGCCTAATACATTGGCAGAATTATTCCAGAGTAATTCAACCATGAGAAAATATGATCCTTGTGTCACTGCCAAGGTCAGAGAGACCTATGGTGATCTGCAGAGTAAGTTCAGGTCACCCAAGTTAAATCTGCCCAGGGGCTGACTTAGCTCATGCACCACATTTTTTCCAAGATTAATAAGAGCAAACATTTTCTATAGATGAAGGCAGGGCTAAGACTGTGGTCAACTCTCTCCTTTGAGCCAAGGTCTCCTGCTTTTCCGTTCTCCTTTCCAGGTTGCTCTTTCACTTCCTTTCCATTCTTCTCTTTCCCCGGCATTTACAGGATGCTTAGAAAAGTCTGTCTTTTCCTTTATGTGGCAACCAATGCCTATACGGCCTTCCCTGATATCTGCAGGCACAGGAAGGACACGGGGACATTGCTGGTGTTTGACCTGCTGCAGCATTGTCTGTGTGTGTGTGGTGTGTCTTTGAATATCGGTTAAGAAGCACATCTTGAAAGCTGAGGTGAAAAAGATGGGGTACACAGCAGAAATATATTCTTTGTTAACCTCAAATGAAAGGGTGCCATCTGAACAACAGGATATTTGGCAGTTTTGAAGGTGAAGCTGGTGATTTGGTAGGCACTTGAAGGCTGCCTCAGGAGGAGACACTGAGTGGTGAGCTGGCCAGGGTAGAGTCCTCTTCCATTAGCAGTGAGTGGAAAGGGTGAGACAAGGTCCTCAGCCCATTCAACAAGGATGAGGTTGTTTCGTCAGAAAAGCAAGGTTATTCTTCCACATAGTCTATACCTGCCACGGGGAAGCTGATGTCTGTGGTTTCAGTCTGCCAGAACCTGAGGTTTTCTTTAGCTTCCTTGGTTACTCATTCATGTCATTTAAAGTACATCAAATTACTGAAAGCAGTCAGTTTTTGCTTTCTACACATTTCTACTCCTGTTGCTCTTAGAGATAATGGCAAATGCTGTGAATTGAAAAAGAAACAACAGAAATAATTTTGGCTTGATTTTTGAAGGATGTATGCATTTTGGTTTTTTCTTAAGACACTGGATGGCTTTTTGCTGTGACCCAACTGTGCTTTGAGGTTTCTGTGAGATTTTGGTTAAACACTCTTATTGTGAAGGAATGGAGTCAAAGAGAGATGAGCTGGAAATGGCTGAGTTAACTCCTTCCCATCCTTCATCCCTCTTGCAGTTGGAACTTTGGTGCCACTAGATGAAGTGAGATAAATAATAATCAAATTTTGAAGTTTGTCCCTTTCCTCCCATCATTTTACCTATTCGAAGTAATTCTAGGTAGGTGATATCTAGGAATATGTAGCAATGGAAGATTAAAGAGGTAAAAATAAGGCACACATGCACTTGTGGGTGATATTCAGGGGAAGTTTTAAGTGTCCAGCATTGATCTGACTTTTCCTTCACCTTCATTGCCTGTTTTGGATTCTGACCTCTGTTTTTTCCTGGATGATTTGCATTTCGATTTGTTTGTTTTAATTTGGAAAAAAACCCACACCCTAAACTGTAACTGCACTGTTAATCAAACATCAAAACACCAGAAGCCGTGATAGAAAGTTGTAGGAAACCAAAACATAGCAGTGGCATGAATACATTAAGCTGGAGCTGAAGGGGATGTGCTAACTGAGTAGGACTGAAGTGTCTGGAAGGACTGTCACTGCTGCTGTGCCCTTAGTCAGGGATCTCATCTTTGCTGCTGAGCCTGGTGGCCAGTGCTGGACCACAAGGAGCAGGGTCAAGGCCCCCTCCCCGTTGCTGTTATTTCTCCAAAGGGCTCTTCAATCCCTGTTAGAGTTTTCAGGCTCTGCTGTAGGGGCTGGGTTCACACCAGATGTGCAGGGATTGTACCCCAATCTGCCCCTCAGTGCCACCCCACCTCCCCATACCCAAAGGATATCAGCAGAAGTGAGAAAGTTGGTTCCTCTTTTGGAGGGAGAGTATTTGTAGCAGAAGAAGAGTTAGTGGCCTTATCACCACCACGGTGGTCATGGCCTGATCCCACTCAGCCTGTAAAGCCAGGGAATCTGGGCAGAGCAGAGGGCAGCAGGAGCTGTGTGGGCAGAAGGAGGAGCTGTGTGAGTGGCAGCAGGGTGCCTGCTTGCATTGTTTTTTCCTATTGTGGTCTTTCTTAAGTGCCACCTCATCAGACCAGATTTGCCTTTTGTGTTGGGAGAGGGACAGTCAAGTGGAAGAAAATTTTGTGTGAGCTTGGCTCTGTCAAATTTACTCCTTTTGGCTTCTGGTCCTCCTTCCTAAGGAGAAGCCTCCCACTACTGTTACAAACAGTCCAGAGTGACTGGCTTTTGCTGGAGGAACAAGAGCAGTGGATTTAGGGTGCTGGGCAGCAAGGAACTGTAGGGAGAGCACAAGAAAAACATTAATTTTTTTCTATGCCCTTCCCTTGAAAGGTCTGACAGGGGGATGCATATGTTGTAATTCAGGGTTTTTTTCCTGAGTTGATTACATGCATGGTAACATAAGGGTTTGTCTTTGGATGGGGGGAAGCAGGCTGCTTCTGAGCAACCCAGACAGCACCAGGGCAGGATGAGGGGCAGAAATTCATGGGGAGGTCCAAATGCCATCCATTCAGTTCATGACTGCAAATGTTTCTCATATTTGCTTAGTAAAGAGAAGCATAAGTGTTTTGGGTCCAACTCTTGCTGTGTTCATATGTATAAGATGATGGGTGGTGTTCAGCAATGGCGGTGGAGATGTTGTTACTGTCAAAAGAGGAAAGGTAGATGAGATGGGGGCATTTTATTCTTATCCCTTTTAGTTCTGCCTTTTGCAGTTGCAAAGTGACAGGTGTATGTGGGGAAATAGAATATGTGATGGAGCCATAGTGAAGTTCAATGTTAGTTTTCTTTCAATTCTGTCTTGGGTTTTATTGTCAGATGTAACTGATGGACTGGGGACAGGGAAAATAAAAATTTCTTGGGTTTGATGCTACTTTAAAATGGGTGAATGGGTTTGCATAGCCACAAGAACTTTTTCACTTGACACAAACCACATGGCTAGTTCCAATTAGAAATCTCTCATGTGGGTTTGGTAGGTCATGAATCCTGACTTGCTTGAGCTGCACTAGACTAAGTCTCTCCCATTCATTATGGTTATATGACTCCTGTGACACTGGGGATCCAGCTGGGCAAAAGAGGATTTGGGGCAAGCAATGTCTGAACTGTAATTCCTGCAGTACACACTGGAGCTTGGGCCAGCACTGACTGCTCTTGAATTGCCCCCCTCCCCAAAAAATGCTTTAGTTAAGTTCAACAATCCCAAGTATTTTGGTTTGTCTTGCCCAACAATTATTTTTTAAAAAACTTTTTTCAATAGAAGAAACCTAATTTTGAATGGTTTGGACAGTGTCAAGGATCTGGCACATGTTTTCTGTGGTAAAACTTGAAATCTGCGTCATCTTCTCCTCTGGAGCAGGCGTGTACGTGGGGCCCAGGGCAATTTAGCTGTGTTTAGGGAAGGAAGCCTTCTTAAATGCTGCACATAATAAACTATTTCTACAGATAATGCGTCCCTTAGTTTATACGTAATATGCCTCTGATCTTTGCTTTGAGCCTCTTATAGCTGCTTGTGATCAGTCCAAGAGTCAAGTGTCTTAGAAGCTGGATAAACACAAAGATAGAGCCTGTTGTTAAGGAGCTATAGAGATTTACAGAAGTTGACCTTGTGGCCGTTTGGGGTATTAGTTGGGCATATTTCCCCCATGGCAGAGCAGTCCTGTGCTCCTGCCGCTTCTAGTGCTCCTGCTTTACAAGGGAGTAAGTCTCAGTCATATGCCATGGGCTTTTCATGGAGAATGCAACTGGTGAGACCTTTAGCTGGTAGGTCCAGCACTCCTGATGAGATTGAAGATAATAGGTTTCATGACAAAGACCTGTATTTGAACAAAATGAGAGGATGACTGAAAAAGAATTTTTCCCAAGAAGTGGTAGGTTCGTCATGGTGGCTTTTAGGGTAGGGAAAAAAAAACCTCAACTGTTTAAGCTTTTTACCTTTCTTGGTTAAAGCAGGATGTTTTTGTGTTTAACCAGATACTTTTCTGTAGGGTATTTGCTTCCAACTGCTCAAAGTAAACTTTTGATGTTGGCAGCAGAAAGTTGTTTGCTTCCCATACAATGAATTGCTTTCTTTTCCGTGTTTCATTCTGTGTGTAGATGCACAGCTCCTGAAATGCCTCACAACTTACCCATAGCAGCGGAGTTTTCTGAACCCGTTAAAAGTGCTACTTTGTGCAGGGGAAGAGGTTTCCTTCACTTCAGCTGTAAAAAGCTGCCAAAGAAATGAAAATGACTAAAATTTGTGGGTTTTCCCCCCACTATTTTTCAATGCTGTTTTTACTCTGTGCATAGACAGCTAATTTGTTCTTTGCTTGCCTGAAGGGAATTCAAGTCAAAAAGGAGGGTCGAGTTACTAGAGAAAGGTGCTCCTGTCTCTGAGGAACAAAGTACAATGATTCAAGAAAAAACTTTGAAAGTTTGTCAAATGCCAGAGTGTAATTTATGCTTGTCCATGTTACTCTATCTGTGAATATTTTTGTAGGATATTTTTGCAACTGTGTCCTTTAGTATCTTGTAAATATGGATACTATCTGTGACTGACAACCTCCTACAGTTTATGTCATGGTCTGAATCCTTACATGAAACATGTACTGCATCTCCTTAGGAGATGTGTGCAAACCCAGACACATGGTATTTGTTCCTTGCTAATGCTCATTTTCATCCTTGTTGTTCCTCATTAACTTTTTATTAAGTATATTTGAGAAGGCCTTCTCCTTAAGGAATATGAAAAAAAAATGATCCCTCATCAACACCACATTTCAAATTCACAAGCAGACTTACAACATAGTTGTAAGTCATTTTTGGGGCTGTTCTGTAGGCCATTCAGTGTGCTGAGGTGATTGCCATTGACCTCAGGAACTCCAGGAGTGGGTGCTTCTATCACGTCTGACTAACCATGGATCCAAAACAACAGAAAATATTTTTTACTGATAAGGAAATTACACAGTTACTTTGTGCTTTCTGAAGTACCTTTTTGGTGGGAGTCCCATTCTTGTGTGCCTTGCTTGGGCACTGGCAGGTTGAGAGCAGTCAGTGGGTTAATGTTACATATGCAATATATAAATGCATGCATGTTTGAATTTTAAAATAATGTGGTTTGGGGAAATCTTCTAAACTTAAGAGCCTTTTAATGTCTAGACTTCTGTTTCTCCTGACTGAATAGGTGCAGCTTGGTTTAGCAGCTGGGCATGCACCCCAGACTGTGCTGGTGCTGGTGCCTTCCAGTTCTCTCATGGCATACCTGAGCACTCAGCCCTTGTGCTGCTCAGCTTGCCTCCTTCCCCACCTTGCTCTGAGCAGGAATGATCATTTCTGAGTAGTGAACTCGTCCTTCTGTACTTGTGGACATGAATAATAGCTGCCCTGACTCACATCAGAGTCATTTGGGTGTGACTTCGGCTCAACACATTCCTGTGCCAAGCTGGAGATGGTTGTGTCAGAAACAAATTTTAAAAAAAATATACATATAAAAAAATTTTCCACATTCTTCTTTGATTGCCCAAGTCCATTCAGTGCTGGTGGTCTGAAATGACGATCCTTGTTCTATTTCCTGTGAACTGTGGTTTGTAGCAGATTCCCTCTCAATTGCTTTACAGAAAAGCTTATTGTATCCCTAGACCTGCTTTTTGAGAATTCATAATTTTGTACCTTATAGGAAAATTTCACATGTAAGCCTGGCTTTGCTCTGCAAAAAGTCATCATGGTGGATTGTGTGGGTATCCAGCAAACTGGAGTTTTGTTTCTGTAAAAGGTAACATAGATAAATCTGTGGAAATTATAGTCATTACTCTAAATTGGTATACTACACTGAAGAAAGGTTAAGGAACGTTATTTTGCCACTTAAAATTTCTCTAATACATTATGCTGCTTAAAGTTACTAATAATCTTCCTTTCCAGCTACCTGGAAAGGTTACTAAAGAGACTTTGGTTCTGGGAGTAGTTAAAAGAGAAAGGAAACAACAGACCTGTGGCTGGAGAGTGAACAGTTAAATATTTGGCTTAGATAATTTAGAATTTCTCATAGTAGCAGAAGCAGGAATTTGAGGAATTTGTATCTAAATGCTTGTAAAAAAATTTATGGTAGAATTAAAAAGAAATCATACATGTTTAGTGTTTCAGTTCCTAACATCAAATGCATTGCAAGTCTAGTTGTGGCAGAAGTCAATAGTTTTTGTCCAAACAAGGTGCATATTTAATTTATATTAGCTCATGAAATGCAAAAGTAAATGCAAACTGTGAAGTTTTTCTAGGATGCAGAAGCTGCTTTTAACAGGAGAGATTTGAATGCATACAAATAAGTTCAACATAGGGAGCTTCTAGAGGACTCTGATTTAGTCAGTCCACTTAAAAGTTGCTCCAGGCCTTTCCTAGGGCTTTGAGTGCACATCTTTCCCTTCGTTGAACTCCTTAAAGCAGTGGATTTAGATGCCTGTCTAGAACTGGACTGCAAAAGCTGGAAGGTGTTGTTCATCTTATTGTTTGGTAGACCTCAGCAAAGGTCTAGTGCCTTCCTCTTACCCCCTCTTAGCAAATTGAGCAGTGGACTCCAAAAACCTCTCTCCCATCTCTTGGCAGAGGTGTGGGAAGCAGGCTTTTTAGAATAATCTGGTTTTCTTTGATATAAAAAATACTTTTCCTCCAAATGCAGATTTGATACCGGGACAGGGCTGCGTCCAGGGAGAAATAACCTGTTGAGTCTGGTGAAGGTACTTGTAGTAAAGCTGTATTTGGCACTTTGCTACTGAGATTTCTGGTCACTTAAAATTATATAAGGACCTTAGTCAAAAGAGTTACATGCAAAGGCATGGATTTTGTTGTCGAGCAAAGGGTCGGGATTTTTAGGATGTCTGAATTTTCAGCCTTTTTGAAACCTCCATGATTTGGGATTGGGAATATTTATGTCATATCTGGGCATTTCCTATGGTTGAGGTCTGAGGGTTGTATTTGGGAGCTGGAGTGGCTGAAAGTTGGCCATCTGTGCCACACTGTGTGTCTTTCCAGTGTCGCAGGGGGATGGCATTTAATTTGGGTTTGGTGTGAGAGCGAGGGAGGAGGCTTTGAATCACCAGCAAACTCCTGCCACAGCCATGGCTGCTGAAGGCGAGTGCCTGTGCCAAGTTGCTCTCCAGAAGCACCTATTTTGCCAACAAAGGTTCATAACACATCACCCAGGACAAAGAGAGTATTACCCACTCGAGGGGCTGCTGTAAACTTGGTTGCCCTTTGCTGCTTCTGCCTCTGATTTTTGGGGGAGTGGGAGGGGAAGGGAAGTCGTAAGAGGCAATGACAGCAGAGAGGGGGACGCAGTGAGAAGAGCCCCTGCTGGCACGGCCGGCCTGACCCATTCAGCAGGGCTGAATACGATAAATGCTGCTTTATCCTTTCTTGAAAGGAACAAGATAGCAAGGCCTAAATGCCTGGGTGTGCTTAAATAGGCAACTCTGGGACGCCGGAGTCGAGGGCGTTTGAAATCGGAGCTCCCCAACAGCCAGGGAGCTGCCACAGGTCACCTGCCTCGCTCCATGGGGACTGGCCCAGGTCTGGCAAGGAATCGTGCACGGACGAATTGTAGTACAAATTCCTTTCTTTGTTGGTTGGCCTCTTTCACTAGACCATGGCCTATAAAAAATTGTGTAAAAACAATTCTTAAATATTATTTGAAAGGGCAAACGGCCACGCTGAAAGGTTTGACAGTTTGACATATAGCGCCTGGTCCTGCTCGCCAGGGAAGCGGGCGTGCGGAGCCCGGGCTCTCCTTCTGCTCCTTACAGGCTCCGGGTTTTTTGTCGTTTCTTTTTTTTTTTTAAGCAGCGTCTAGTTGCTGTGCAGAGTTGCTGCGCTCCCAGCAATTTGACAGGCAAGGAGTCTGCTTCAGTGATCTTAAATCCTTTTAGACTAATTTGCGAGCGAGCAGAAAAACAGCTAGCACCTTCGGATCCAGCACTCAAAACCAGGGAATCAGGTATTGCCAATTAAAGTGCCATTTCCAACCATCATATCAAGACAGATTACTTGCAATTCCTCTGATAATGTCACTCCATGCCTAAAGAGAAAGCGGGATGGAGTTTCTCCATGGACAAAGGATCCGCATGGACCAAACTCCTTGGCGAGCGGGGCGGAGGGAGCGCGGTGGGGACGGCACATACACACATGCATATGTGCAGCGTAAAGGCGAGCAGTGCGCCCGCTTTGACCCCAGATAGCCATGGGCCATTCTGAAGAGCCTGTGGCCCCTCAGTCACTGGCCTACTAGTTAATTGCCACACGGACTTCGTGACACATGGGCAGATAATATGACATTTTCAGTTTCTGTCACTAGCAAACGCCATGGCGTTGCTTGCACTAGTTGCTAAGAAGCTGTCAGAAACCATTAGCAGCTGGCTAAAGTTGCCCTATGGCATTTCCTCATGGCATCAGCAAAACAAGCATAAATCACCCAGCGGAGCCTCCCGCTATACTAATGAGGCTGTAAGCTTGTTTATGGACTAGCATCATTTCTATGATTATTTCCACCTTTTCAGTTCGCCTTCATTTGGCAGCAGGAGAAGTCAACTTCAGGAACAGAGTCGCCACCGACATTTTACAAATGCAGTTCGTAGCTGCTACCGTGTGGCTGGTCAGTGGTGCTTCAAGTTTGTTTAGTAATCTTTAAAAGGAGGAAAAGAGGGGGGTGGAAAAAAAAAAGAAAGGGCGGGGGGAATCTCTGGAGACCTCACAGAGGTGAGTGTATCGAGTTGCAAAGTAGATGGAAATACTAAAATCCACAATTGACCATTTAGAGTTCTCTCTGTGGTTTCAGTCTTTACGGGATCAATTTTCCATTTAAAAAAAGTGGAAGAGGTTAAACAATTTACAGAAGTCTACCGAAGCATTTGCTCCAAGGATAGCTGGGCGCTTTCTTATTCTCTCCCTGCTTTTCACTTTCTCTAACTTGTGTCGGTCGAGGCCAGGGTTTATTGTTTTAGGCTTTTCTGAACATACACCAGTATTTACACTGGATTGAAAGCATTTGCTTCCAATGAAAATCTTGTCTTAGATTACAGCCCAGCAGTGTAATTTCCCTCCCAGATGGGAGTAAAGTAGCAGTATTTGCCTAAAAACAGTAGGAAGAACAAACTGTGCATTAAGCCAAGGCTGTTTTTGGCTTGAGCTAATGATGTAACAGAAACCTTTTATTTGGGATAGGTCACTGCCCGGGATTGAAGGAGGTGATCTGGCTCGCGCTTGAAAGGTTTCTCCATTGTATCTACATAAGTCTTCACTTAAAAAATCCTGTTCCTAATGCTTCTGCTTTCATACAGCAGAAATAAACAGGAAAGGTTCTGGGGAGTGTTATAGGTGGAATGCAGAAAGCTTTTCCTCCCCTAATGGAGGATATAATTCAGGTGCCCTGGAGGCATGCTTTCAGGAATTCTCTTGCCCGAGGTAATGGGAAGCTAAGGCTGCTTGAAGGCCTTGATTATCTATTGATGCACAAAGCTGGAAAAAAAGTCATCTCCCTTGGATTATAGTAGATATTTCCATAAATTATCAATGAGTCCTCCTCCCGTCAGGCATGAGGCAATGCCTGCTAAATTAATCTGAAGGGGGTTTGAAATGAGTGTATTTTTAAAAAAATGGGGTGGGGGGAGAGGGTGGGTGGACGATGGCAGGGAGGTGGTGAAAGGCAGTGTCATTAGGTTAGAAGCTTTTCATTTTTAATCAATGAATGCGTAATACTTTTCTTTTCCTTGTTTGCCTCTCGCAGACAGAAAGTGGATTAGCCCGTGGAATTTTAAATGCTGTTGAGTTGTTTCCTTTGCTCATGTTTCTTTTATGAATTATTATTTTATATGGTGAATTGCTTCTCTGTATAAAAGCCCTTTTTTACATACTGGGCTTTCAAAGAATTTGTCGGATATCTAATTTCTTCATAAAAATCTTGTTTGTTTCTGTAACTACCCAAGGTTACCATTTCATTAAAGACACAGGCCAAGTCATAAGGACAATTATAAATTTGCCACGGTCAGTAACATGCTAAAAATATAACACTAATAATAGCTTTTATTTTTTGGTGCTGAAAGCTGTTTAACAAATCACAATTTTGACAGCCTGCATCCCTTTTTTTAAAAACATATTTTATTTTTGTCCCTAATGGAGATAGTTTGTTTTCAGCCCAATTCAGATGGCTTTCTTGATCATTCTTGCCCAGGGGTGTAAAAAACACTTGCCTAATAACATCACAACTCCATGTTGCTACAAATACAGTGTCCTTGGAAGCCAGGATACACCGTTCAGTCCACATGCAGTGAATGCAAAGACTTACTTGCTCTGTGGGCTTGTTTATGAACTGTGTCCAGGGTTTGAAACAAAAATTGCGTGCAAACTGGCCAGGCACTGCAACTTTTGTTTTCCTTTGGTCACTAACCCATGAGCCCAGACCCAAGGTGGCTGCTATGCAGTGACATCCTCCCCTAGACATGTTGGTAATGTGTTGAGAACTGTCTGCGACCTTCTCTGCATTAAGGAAATTCATTCTGGATCAGTTATTGTTTAACAGGAGCAGACACCTATTACGGATATGGCACGCTGGAACAAAGCAGGGTGTTAATTCCTAATGGTGTATGTCAAATTGGTGCTTGCTTATCCCACTATGAGTTTCTTTTGGCTGGGGCTGGGAAGAGGGGAGGCCAGTTAGCTGCCTACCTCCCATCAAAGAGTCAGGGGACGTCAGACATCTGTAAAAGACTTAGTATAAGTGATGCCCCAGTCATCTGGTTATTTCCAAATTTGTGGAGAGAATGTGATGCAGCAAGAGAGCTGCATTCACCCTGCTTTTCACATCCCAGAGCGGGACGAGGCACCCGGCTTCACACATGTCATGATCCCCATCCCGGAACACCACTTTCCTGATTGTCAGCTCGGCCAAAGTAGCTGATTGGGATGAATCTTTGGGAAGTGACCTAGTGTGAAGAAAACCCACCGTTTCCACCTTAGCAAGCTGGATGCTTGCAAGTTTTTTACAGTTTTTGAGCACTTTTTGTTTTGGGTTACCATGGCAAAAATGGCCACACTGTCCTTCAGGATAAACCAGAATGGGGCCGACACAGTTCTGAGACCCTCCCTTTCCCCATGTCTCTCCCTCCCTCCCCCATCCCCTCAACCCCTGGTGAATTACGGTGTTAAAGAATTTATACCTCATTTAAATATTCATGCAGTTTATACCCAAAGCCAGGCTTCGGCTGAAGTATATAAAGGTAGCATAAGTCAAAATTTGATTCACTATATTTACAGGTGACGGCTTGGACAACAGTGTAGCTTCCCCCAGCACAGGTGATGATGATGATCCAGATAAGGACAAAAAGCGACATAAAAAGCGTGGCATCTTTCCCAAAGTAGCCACAAATATCATGAGGGCATGGCTGTTCCAGCATCTAACAGTAAGTGAACTCTAGATCACATATGCAAAATAAAACATGGATAATGTCATAGTTGTAGTAGTCGTAGAAAGCAAAAAATACGTATGATGTTGCTGACAGGCAGCTGAGGAACTGTTCCAGGCAGAGCTGTTGTTGCCTCATTTGCTAGATGCCAGGGGAAGAGCACAGAGTGTATGTTTTGATGGTTTGGGGTTTTGTGTGCGTGTGTGTGCGTGTTGTTTTTAGATATTTTTTGTTTGTTTGTTTGAGACGCAGTTGTTAACAGGACGTCACTGCGAAATGTGATTTCTACTTAAAGCTTCTATGAATATAACCCTGCAGACCTGTCCTGCTTTGCAGCTCCGCTCAGCTGATGTGGGAATCGCTGCTCTGGAGCACAGAGCAGCATTCGGCCCCTGGTTCTGTGCTCCGGAGAGCTGCGGAAAACAATTGGGGAGATTAAAAAACAAAGCCAAAAGCAAACAAAGACCATATTCAGATGTTTGTCAGAGATCATCAGAAGCTTCATGATGAAAGGTCTGAATGTATCTGGTTTAATAGCAAAGTGTAATTTTTTTCTTTGAGACATTCTCATTCCCAGAGTGTAAGTTACCCCCGTATTTAATGTTAGAAAGTGGTGGGGGAATGCACAGCTATTTCTGTTACCACAGCTACTGTATGTTTTTGTTTTTTTATTCCTGGGATTTGAAATCAAAGCTCTGGACAGGTGTGTGGGGTTAAGCTGGATGCTGGAGCTGCTTTCAAAGCTTTATATTGTGTACCACACCTTCTAATGTTAGCATTTAGAAAAGTGTTTCTAATGCCATTCTCCTTTTTCATCAAATTGTGATCTGTCACTATGCTTTTATCCACTGTGGGGATATGAGCTTTCAGCCTCAGGTTTTCTATCTCAGCCTTTCTATGCCAGGAAGATAAGGGTCAGGAGAGAGGTACTGAGGGTCTGCTGGTAGTAGTGAAGAATGGCTCTTCCCTCTAATTCCAGTGGTTGACTCTCCCCTCTGCCTGTAGTTAGGGTCGGGATGAAACTAGAAGCTGGCCAGCTTGCCCAGCCCTGGTGGGAGCTCTGCCAAGAGTATAGCTGTAAAGTGGAGGAAGCTCTCATGCACATCACCCCTCCGTCCCCAGCTGAGCCAAGAAACCAGATACCTGCCATGACTCTTGTCAGCACGGGGATCAGGCAGGGAATCCTGTCCCGTGCGGTCCTGGGTTGCTATGAATGAACCTTCATGTTGGAGCATTACTCCTCTGAGGCCAGAGGGGGCCTCGGATATCTCCAAGTTAATCTCTCTCTCTGGCAGACTCCATGTCCGTCGTGCCCCAGCTTTGCCTGCTCCTTATCCCTGCATGGTGCGTTCAGTGCCATCACTTCCAAAGGCTGAGGTCCCTTTATGTGTTGGCAGCTCCCCATTTTGAGGTCCTCACCCAAGGTGAGCTGATGCCTGGCTTCTCTCTGCAGGTAGATGTGAGGTAAAGGACATCCACCTCTGAACAGTCCAGGGATGCTGTGCCAACAACAACCAGCCTGGCACAGCTGGTTTAGGTTTTGGATTGAGGAGATGCCCTGGAAACTCTGCAGCCAGGACAAGGCACACAGGAAATGCTGAGCTGCATGTCAGTCCCTGCAGTTTCCAGTGAGGAATTGCAAATTAAGTAGCATAAATATTTTTCCTGAGAGTGTCCTATTGCTGTGTTTGTGCTGGTAAATAAAACATCACCCAGACCCAAGCACAGGAATGTGAGGGTCTATCCTGGTAAACTGCTCGAGCAGTCTTCATCATGCTCTTAGCCTGGACTAACTACCCTCTTCCAAGCCCATTCCTGGGAAGGCAGAAGGCTACAGGGTGTCTCCAAAAAGCCCTTGTGGCAATAACCACCCTGTGTTGAGCATTTAACTACATGGGCTTGACCTGACCCTGCAGCTAGTTTCATGCACAGTCTCAGGACCCCCTCACTGTTTCCTCTGGGTTAGTTGTAGGGTTCCAGTGGCTTTTCACTCTTCTCCTGTGAGGTAATAGTGTGCAGAAGAGGAGAGTGCCTGTAGAACTTGCTGAAGGGCTCCTTGCAGCTCCTGAGAGACAACGTCTGAACATTTACTTGTAAGATGGTCTCTTCTGGAAGACGCAAATACAGGAAGAACCATTCCCCCCAGAACCTATACAATGAAGCTGCTGCATTTTCTACCTTGCAGCACTGAGCTAAAGCTTGCTTTAAAAATCCACCATCCCCTGTGCAGATCCAGACCAGCCAGGTGAAGCAGGTGGTTTTTATTACAGGGCAGCTTTCTCCTCTCCTGGCAGCATGGTAGATCCAGAGTTCTCTGATCAATTCAGTAAAACAGAACTGGTTTATCCAGTCCAGTCTTCTTCAGGTAGGGCCTTGAGACAGACTCTAGGTGGGATCTTGGCCAGTTTCCTCAAATTAAAACACTTCTGGAGAACACTGTAGGCTCTTCCTAGTGCTAGAGCGATGCAGAGTGTTTACAGGCTGCTTGGGGTGCTGTCCTCTCTGCAAAAAAACCCAAGAAAACCCCAGGCCCAAATACTGGCTCCAATCAGAACTGAGGAGTAGTGGGGGGGGAGAGACATTTATAAGGGCATTCGGCTTTCATGACTGCTCTTAAAACCCTGCACGGTGGTATGGTGGTATCCCCAGCTGGTTTCCTTGCTGCAGGAGGGAGATCATTCCAAGGAAACTAGAGATCCCACACCATTTATTTATTTATTTATCCATCCATCTATTTATTTGTGGGTGGATTTGGTCTTTCGTAGGGTGAACACAAGGTCCTCTCTAAAGTGGGAGGTGAGGAAAGACAGGGAGGTGGTTCTATTCAGGCAGGGGATATGCCAGGGCAGGCCCCTGTGCTTTACCTGCCTTCACTTTGCCACCTGAAAAATGGCAGGGAAGAAATGAGCAGCAGTTAAGTGCAAAATCCAGCATCCCCCTGACCACTGGTGCTTCCTAATTGGGGTGTTAGTTGGGAGCCCTCCTTTTCAGGAGCAAATTTTTTTTTTCCCCTCACAATTGTAATATTAGTACACATCAGCAGCATGGAATTAAACAAAATAAACAGTAATTGCTGTGTCTGTGATACTAATGATTACTGGTTGGAGAGACTTAAAATAAATGTTGGACGAATGTAATCTTTCAAAAGGTTGGTTTAGTTCCTTCTATGCAGTTATTCCATCTCCAAGAGCATTAAGTCTTCCTCTGTGTACTGACTTCATTTCCGAAGGTTTGTCCCCTAGTTCTTGTTTCTCACTTGGGAGGAAATCCTTTTTTTTTTTTCTCTCCGGATGTTTAAATGTTTGGGCAGTAGTTCCATTTCAGTGTCAGGCTCCACCCCCCTCCAAATATTTTGACTGATGTGCAGAACTAAGTTGACGTATGCCCAAAGGGTAGGCAAGCGCTGTCCTCTGCAGATGCAGGCAGCATGCTCTGAAGCAATATAGGGAATAACTTCATCCAAATTGCCTTTTTTAATTTTTTTTTTCCTCTTGGAATAACAACAACAAAAACAAAAACAATCAGCTAAAACAATTGCAAAAGTGCTGAGCAGACTCACACTTAGGACTGCGCAGGTTTGGGGTTTTTTTTTAACTGTTTGCTATTCTGACTTAATTTTGATTAAGCGTGTGGGTTGGAAGAGCTGCTCAGGTTGGCTCTTAGATGGGCAAAATGTAGTTGTGGAGCTTGTTGAAATTTTTGCTGGTAGATTATGACAACAGCTGGTAAATTTGGAGGTTTATGAAATCTATTTTTAGGATTTTGCTATAAATTTGAGATGGCAGCCTGGTTACTATGTGGATTAAAGGGAAAAAAAAGAAGAAGAAGAAAAAACTTCTAATAATTTGAAGAGGTGAGGACATCCCTGAACTGTTAACGGGGAGTCAGAATTGAGGAGAGGCTTGTGGAGTGGCTTCAGATGAACATCAAATACCATGGCAGGGGCTGGAGGGGGGACTGGGGCAAACCAGTTCTGTGCTGTCTCTGGCCTTCAGAAAGTCACTCTAAAGATAATTTCAAGGTGTGTTGCAACCCAACAATGTTTCGTGGGCCTTTTAGACTTTTTAAACAATTTTTAAAAATTATTTCTTGGATCATTTAATATTCAGGGATCATTTCTTCCCCCCATTTTTCAAGCAGATCTCCTCACTGTAATGTGAGGAGACCCTCACCCTCAGCAAGAATTGTGAAATAAGGGAAAACCTTGGAGAGAGGGAAGGGAAAGAAAAAAATAATCTTGCTTACAATTAAATATGTAAATTTAATTGTGGCAACAGAATTAGTTTCTGCTTCAACCCATTGTATGCTTTTGTCCCAGTGTTTTGGTATAAATTGGTATTTGGAATTGGTATAAATTCCTTTTTGTTAAAAACTAGAAGAAGGGAGTTTGGGGGGTGTTGTTTCAAGTGTTTGTTTTTTTTCTCATTGTCAATTCTCTGCATACTTTAAATCTAGCTTAATTTAAAATGTTGGTATTCAAACCTCATTTTGGGGATTATACGATGTAATTGGTTTGTTATATGATGAGTATTTGATGATCTTCACGTTCATCATCTAATCAGGCAAAAAAAGCCATAAAATTATAATCCCAAAAGATGTTTAATAACAATTTAAACTATTGAAGGCTTTATTTAAGCACATTAGGGGATTATAAACTACTCTTTTTTAATGGTGCCAAGAGGTAGATTCAAGGACTTCAAACACCTTTTAAAAAACAAATTACCATGATTTAAAAAAAAATGAATGGGCCGAGGATTTCTTTCATGTAAATCCCATAATTTAATCATTATTTTTAACTGCTTTTAAAACAATTTCCTTAAGAGGTTAAATCTCACTGAAATGGGACACTGAGCAGAAAGTAAAAGACGTGGCTGAAAAATGTTGACTTTAAAGTGAAAGGATTTTTTTCTGTTATGTAACTGGATTTTTAACCTTTATTGGTTGCTTGATACCATGCTAATAAACAAGAAAATAAGCCATATTCAGCTATTTAGTGA